GCGGCGTCTAATGTAAGTGTTTGCTGCTTCCATGTAGGAACTACCGAGTGTTCCCATTACCTGAGAATGTGTTAACGACCGTCGGTAGAAATAAAAACGCAATAGTTCAAAGCACACCAATACGAGATTAAAGAAAAGTAGCCCCACCCAAGCACTCACGGATTATGTTGATGTCCAGAGCTAATGGTTTTGGGTAGGAGCCCAGTAAATACACACATAAAAGCAAATCATAGAGTATCAGACAAAACCACTTCCTAGACAGATTTGTAGACTCAGGTATACATCTTCTGGAGTCCATACACCCTGTGTTCAAAGGAAAGCACCGTACCGTCAAACAGAAGCAGTTCGTCTCACAAGCATAGCCCCACACTAGAAGCTAAATATGCCCATACGCAAAAAGTGGAACCTACCTCTTATCTACCACAGTAATTCATTCAGCCGACAGCGACTCTCTATACATATTGGCTTTTTGGGCATTCGGTTTATCATTATTACTGGACTAGATACTTATTTAAGTTATCTACAGCCTAAATTGCATTGTTTCACCTCCAATTAACTGAAAGAGTAAGTTTATAAATTTCAACTGAGGGACGTTAAACTGCGGGAGGTACCTTTATTGCCGCAGCCTGAGAGCGATCTCGACAGCGCCATCACATAAGCCAGGCAGGAGGGCACTAGCGTTGCTGATGGGTCCTGAATTATGATTGGTTGGCAGATAGCTGGAGGCCATTTTCGATTGATAAATACGAGAGCCTGCAGCTACAAGTGCGGTGGACGAGAAAATGATAGGTTCACGTGTCAGGTTGTCATGCGAAGGAGTAACTGACGCTCGTCAGTCGTCGAAGGTGGGCCACTGTGGCAAAGTCACTTCTGAAAAGCATTAAAAGGTTTCTACCGCTTTTGAGGAAAGAGCCGATAATGTGACGCAAACCAAGGAATCGGTAACGGATGCCCGAGATTCGATTAAAATGACATGACACAGAACATGTAAGGAGTCCATGAAACCCTTTTACAATTGTTACTTTTACGAACTCCTTTTACACGATTGATATAATCCATTCGTGAATTCCCGCCGAATGCCGCGAGTTTTTTCACAATTGGGTCAACTAAGTTAATCAAATCTGCAAAACCAACTTAATAATTCCCTATGCCATTTTAATTGTTTGCTGACGTAATTAGGAATCACTGTACTTCACGACTGTCGTTATTTTCGTTTTCCAGTTGATTCTCTTAAGATATTTTATAGTTTGAGTGTTGCCTTTGCTTGGACTGACTTTATTCCTCTGGCCATGAACGCACTTAATTAGGTAATCGTCTGTTTGATGGCCCTACGGAAACGCATTCCAATTTTGATCGATTTCCTGGATATGCTGGACAACAAACGCGTTCATATACACTTAGCTGGAAATGTATTTAAAAATTATAAATTATTTAATGCATAGTAGCACATTCAAAAGCGGAAGCCTCTCAAATTTAGGCTAAAAATATCATGCACTACAGCCAAACAAACTCCGTTATTTACCCCAGCTAAAGCCTCATCACTGGGTTCGGGCCTCTCACATCGTAATCCGTCAATAATCAATCCGCCTTTTAAACTCTCTTTCATCTATCAAGTCACTTTTTCTAGAAAACGTTTTCATGATGGACCTTTTCTCTTGGCAGTTACTACCTTATGCTCGCGAAGTCCAAGCAGAAACTATTACTTAGTGAATCGGTAAATAGGATAAAGGACAACTAGTGGTTTTAGTAAGTAGAGTGCATTTTGATATAAGCTGCATAAACCATGCGTTTGTCCAGAGAATCAGTGCATATCCGTCCGAAAAGTATAGATTTAGGCCAATACCATATTGCATCAAGCAAGAAAATCCAGAAGTAGAATTACGAGATTACGCTATATTCGCAAGGACTGCAAGGGTATAAAGCAATCCCCGCAAGTCGAATGTAGGGGAAGCAGGCAAGGTACTTTCCCAGCTATGAATGGTAACTGGCATATAATCGGACGGCCTACAGAAGTCTCACAATGCATTCAAGTGTTTCTGAAAGAGAAATTACCCCGAGGTAACTGAGCTACTTGAATGAAGCAGAGAAATAATTGACAGAATAGGTTTACTTTTTCCATAGTCTACAAAAACATTCACTCAGTTCTGTTTGTTCGACAGCAGCTGAAACCTTGGTGCTTTTGGAAAAATAAAACGGCACGCTGTATTTTTTTTCAGACGAAAGCTATGAACAGTGTTCTCATGTGTTTAAATTTTTTCTCTACTATAAGTCATCCCAGTGTGAAAGAAATAATCGAAAAGTTGTTTCCAATAGGGAAAAGAGCAGATTACGATCAAGTATCAATGAATAATTGAGCGCTCCCACTTCTCCTGGCCTCTAGATGGGCACTGACGTTGATCTTCCAAGGTTATCTAGTATCACAATGCTGCAGTTATATGACCAACATGGATGTTTCTTACGGATAGTCGTATAAGTGCACTAGCCCTTCAACTACTCAATATCTTGAGAAATATTTTTTTTAAATTTTTGTGAAAAATGCGATTGCATCCAGCCGACTGGAATAAGTCGAGAAAGGATAGTTACATAGACGAAACGCCTGGTCACAGTTCCTCGGATGCCTAAATTATTTCTTCACCTATCTCGCAGGCACTGATGGTTAGAGCTTTGGACGTGTAGCCAAAACTTTGGTGGTACAGATATTGGGTGTTCCAAACCCTGGGGTTGGGTATGGCTGGGTTATTACAGCTAACAAACCAGAACTTACCATTATGGTCCTCACTTCCTTTGTGGGCAACCCTCGTACACCCATAATACTTACAGTTTTACGGCTGTAAGCGGGCCTCGAGAATTAGCCCATGACAGAACTGGAGGACCGATGTTCTGTTAGCGATGGTTTAGCGTCCATCCACAAGTGTTAATATTCCCAACAGAAAGCAAAAGGACAGAGAGTGCGTGGTTCAATGATAAGAGCGTTGGCATTGCAACCAGCAGCAAGTGAAGTGGAGCTTCGGGTTTTGCAACGTCCAGGGTTGGGTATATCTGACTGATGATGTCTACTAAGTCAGAAATTGATATAACTGTCTCCTAATATCTTTGTTAGTAATGTTTGTCTAATACAGTATTTGATTGAATGTGAAGTAACTAAAAACCTATCTCCTCTATTACCTTTTTAGTGGAAAATTTGGAGATGTCAGTAAGTGCACCGAGAAGTCCACTGGCTATGAACTGGCGGCAAAAGTCATTCCAATTCACTCACCTGAAGACACAGAGAGTGTAATGAACGAGGTCAGCATCATGAACAAGCTACGACATGCACGGCTCATCCAACTCTACGATGTCTATACGAGACCGGACAAGATTACGTTAATCATGGAATTGTACGTTCCCTTGTTTCCTTGTCAACTTCATAAAAGTTATTTCCTTGATATTGGCATGCATCCGAGTAGGTAGCGTTCAGTTGTCACTTACTAGTACAAGTAAGTAATCTGAATGTATTTACAATAAACAAAATGCGAACTAAACGGAACGTCACATATGCGCGGTTTAGAAAAGTTGAATGTTGGTGGTATATCGGTTTGAGGAATGTCCCAAATGTTAAGCAAGGTAAGACCATAGCAGGTGTATGCTGCATAGCACAGAAAGAGGCTTTAGTAAAATACGTAAAAGTCAAAACGTATTTTAGTGGGTGTTCTCCGTGAGTTTATTTGGTAATTTCGCGGGTGCGTGTGTAAGTGTACTTAAATAAGTATTATGTTTTTAAGTTATTAATATCGTCCTCAGGCAGTGCTATCCAGTTAAGAATGTAATCAGACCATGTGCTGGTTTAGGCTCATATAGCATTTGCACTGGTGCGTGCGTTTTTAAGGCGCACGATTGTGTATCACCGTCGTAACAAGCTTCTTCGTGCAGTCAACGCTGTCAACCATGAGTGACATAGTTGTGATTTAAGCATGTCCGTTGTATCAAGGAAGGCACTGTTAGTGTGTGTGCTTCGGCGTCTTCCTGTTTTGATGCCCAACGTGGTCGCTTGTCTTGAGCGGCTGACCATTTAGATATGGACCGTGAAAATGGTAGGAGGTGGTCTTACTTGGGTACCGTCACCCGGCTAAGTCATCATCCCCGTTTTGTTACATCGCCAACGACTGTTTTAATTATGGTCTCCACTTCATCGCGTTCTACCTCTGTGTGCAGTCCACGCGTTTATACCTTTCTGACTGGACAGAACGCAACTGCAACCCCAGACAATATTTTCCGTATCGACGTATGTCTAGGTCATGAGTGCGGAGCAGGAAAACAGCCAGTGGCTCTTCACCTTTTTAAATATCTACAGCCCGCACTACCGGGCATTTTAATTAGTTCGATCAAATGGAATTTCACCAAGTTCCTCATCGCCCGTGCTGGTATCCCGTACAAGCGTTACTCATCACAAACTGATCCAGTGTCCTTCGGGTCGGACATGAAGCATCTGGTTTCATCTCCCTAATTTTTCGGCATCCCGGAAGTCAGCACACGAGCGTCTGAAAGTCCAGGGGAAATCTGTGGATCAGGAAACGACATTTATGACATGGTGGATACTACTATCCATATTTCATGGTCGTAAGTTGACTGTTAGTAAAGTTTTATGCGAACTATGTAGATAAAATCCTTGGGACCCACTAATGTCGATGACGAAATCGTGAGGTAGACAAAGGGCTCCAGGATGCCACGAAACATATCTGGAACCTCTACTATCACACGATATCTGGTGTTGCTCGCAGACAATAGACGACATCCCGGGGTCTGATTGCAAGGAAGTGGGAGAACTTGCCGGGATCAAATGGGGCCTTTACTGATTAACACCTGAGTTGCCTTTCCTACAAAACAAACTTCTAAAATATTAATGGAGGAATAGAAATATGCATAAAAAACCCTCCAGCCGTGTAAAACGCCTGGAAATAGAGGTTCCAGTGTTGATCTTTGCCCGCAGGTCCCTTTAATATTTTCTCCAGTAATTAGCGGTAGGGTCACACAGTCAGAAACAGGTTGGAATCCTGGTAGGGGAACTGATCAGTCCAGCGCAGTGTCGGGCTATGCATTTCCCCACTTAGCAGAGCGGCGAGAATAAGGAAGGCAAAACATGAACCAGATATCAGCACCGAATTAGCCGTTTATACTGAATCAAGGTAGCAAGAGCAATAAAAGAGGATCTTAGGTCACGCGAAACACCAGTTGGACACCGGTGCCGACCCCATCCGTGCTAACAGGCGCGAAGATTTAGCACTCTAGCCCACCCACGGAGAATAGTTTCGTTTGTGTGGTCTGTCACCATGACCGAAACTACCTTTAAGCAAATCAGATGGCATCGTTTCAACCGCCCCGAAGGCGGACGCTGCCGTCGGGTAAATAAGCCTATCATGCTGGACAGCCGTGTTACTTAGCCATACTTGCTTTCAATTGAATAAGTTCCGTTAATGAATACACTCAGAATAAACCGCGTCCCTAGTAGGGGCGCACTACCGACTCCACTATTTGTTTAAGAGCGCACCATATAGGCTTTTCCCCAATCATTTTCTTGTGGTTGGGTAGATCACTTGATTCTTCATTCTGTAGAACTTACCTTTAAAGATGAACCCCTGTAGGAGTTTGAAAGTTCAGGACAGTAAATCGATTGGTCCGGTGCCTTCCAACTTACCCATGCAAGTATCCAGAACGCAAGCTTTCTCATTCACAGTTGAGTTCTGCCAGCTACTATTAAGAATAAGCAAGTGTAAAATTTCATTGGCCCAATGTGGAAAAACGCTTCTTGAGCTGCCGAAATAATATTTGTGAGAGTTTGCTCGTTTCAAGAAAATAAAATTTCAAAGTAGCACAGAATACTACGAAAGTGAAAATTGATTTTTTTCTTTTCTTTTTTTGCAGGATCACTGGAGGTGAACTGTTCGAACGTATAATCGATGAACATTTTGAGCTGAACGAGGATAAGTGTGTTCGATTCATGACGGAAATTCTTCAAGGAGTGGACTACATGCATTCTCAAAAAGTTCTCCATCTTGACCTTAAGGTAATGCTCCGCTGCATGACATATGTAACATCGGGATTCTTCTGACTATGCTTAGCCTTTTCTGTACATATTTTCTATTGTTACATTCCGGTGGGACCCCATGACTACGGTCGCTAAAACGTGAGCTGCACTTAACCCCTGCCTTAAGTGTAATGAGTTTTATTTCCGTTGCTGCAACTGAAATTTTCACAATTGGGTCAAATAAGGTGAGAAATCATGTCTCTTAAGGGCTAAACCGTCAAGGAGGGATGACAGCAGGTAACAAAATGACCGGTCACCACGGTATTTTAATCCACATTAAGTTAAAAACCAAGCATTGATCCTTCTCTCCTCCAACGCACATTCATGATCTAGAAAAGAACGAAAGTACTATTGCATCAGAAAATGTCGTTGTTCACATATTTGTTTTCATTGGAGAGAGGGAGAAAAAACCGCACTATGTTGCACATTGGGCAGGAGCGATGAGAGGCCCTGAGGTCGCTCCTACGACACTAAAATCCAACAGACCTAGGTCTTGGAAAAACTTAAGGGTCGGCAGTGGAATTAGGCCCACTAATTTGCCACGACCATAATGGGATGGTGCACGATCCTAAACATAGCTGCGTGGGTGACGCGCTTACTTGACTGGTGTAAAGGCCCCCACTTCAGAAATCCTACGACGTACTGATGTTCAACAACAACGAGGTAGCAGCTGTCCGTGTTTGGTCTTTTGCACCCTTAACAACCAAGCCATGCATGCCATTTGGCATGTGTCGTATGGCACAACATTCGTTATCGCCAGTAACAAGCTGTCGAGCGGACCGAATGGGATCGAGCGGGATGTTAAACACAACAGTGTAGATGACGCGCTTAGATGGCTTGAAACATTTTTATCGTTGTTTTGTACTGGAGCCCAGGGAAAGTTTTTCTAGGACTAGAGGGGGATGTAAGAGGCTATATTTGAGTAAGGAACAGCCTGTTCACAATCATTTGTGAAGCATGCAGATTCCCGAACTGTTGTAGCTCCCCAACGTCAGTGATAGTCGTAACAACAAAACAGTCAAGCGTAGTGAGAGGTTTGGGCCCATCAAGTGGCAGTACCTTAAGTCCGGATGCAACAATGTAGGGCTCTGCCTGCTGGTGAAAATATTTATACATCGGTTGATGGAATTCTCGTCTGAGGCACAGGTATCGGTTGTATTATTGGCCTGCATCGTTCCCCGCATGAGCGATTACAGTAGTGGCTGACACGTTGACCTCCTTACAAGTTTTGAAGATTTAAATAGCCATCTGCGAAAATTCGTCATATTCTCTCACAACTAGCTCGCGTGAATCTATGAGCGATCGAAGTATGCTTTCACTGTGATCTGTGTAATTGCAGAAACAGCTAATGCATATGATGCGGTACACAACCGTAAACAGCTGAAGTGGATTTTATCAATCGTTGATCTTCATGACCCTCTGATGTTTGATGCTTGATTTCAAACGTAGTCCCATAACACTGCACTCTAGGGCTTCTAAACCCTTCTTTGCGTAAGGAGAACTTGTCACCTAAGCGATGAAGTTTCTGATAGATTGGCATTGGCTTCTAAACGCGCCTGAATAGCAGGAAAGAAAGCATTCATGCAGTTACTGCAATATTTCTATTATAAAACTGCGCTTACGCACAGCCGAGGCAACTATTAGGTATAAACAGAAAGACCCCTTGCTCCAAAGTGAAACTTCGGGATGTGGTTAACGCATCTGATGTAGTTGATAACAAAGTGACTACGTCGGTTAGGCTGACGTAGTATTCTAGACGAAAATGAGCAAGCCTGCAGCAGTAATGAAAAGGAATGATGGAAATCCTCACCTGGCAGTTCATTTGATGAGATCCGGATGTCATGAACACGTTCTACAATGTATGAGCAAACACATCAGCCACAAATCGTTTCAGTTATTATTTTTTGTCTCGAAGCCGATTAAAAAACGCAATGAGCTCCCTGCTTCGTACATTGTGCTGTGGATTTGCTCTGGGAGGAACAGTTACTACGAAAGAGCACATTGTTAAGGAATGTGCATAGGCTATAGCAGCCTGCATCAGAGTTCCGGGAAGCAGGTCAGAAGAGAAGGAAGTGATCGGTGGAACTGAATCTTGCCCTCGCACATCATGCGAGTCCACAATATATAAGGCAAATAAAAGTTTTGTGCCAGCGATCTAGAGGCTATCAATTTGTCCCAGTGACCCCGCGAGTAATGCACTTTCGGTAATTAACTACTCGACTGCGAAAATCCAGAAATAATCGAAACGCATGCAAGCCCCTGCAATGAATCCTGGAACGGTCACTTTTGCTAGCTATGCAGTGCATAAGATAATAAATTTGCAGACGGAGGCTGGAGTTTGCGCGAATATTTAGGCATATGGACCTTTTTTAACATAAAGCATGCCTGGTTACTCCTGACTGCTTCCTAAAACTCTCCTACACTTGTAGGAGCAAATTGTTCCCTCTTTTTATTGACGCTCAAGGTCCAATGTCCATTCCTATCAGGATAATAATGTGCCCTCCACGCCTAAATTCCTACATCTTTCCCATGTTTGACTGAATATTATCCACTGGTTTCTCCCCAAAATTGGCATTCCACTATTTTAGGGGTATGCTTAGTAACATTGCTTGAAACAAATGCTGCTCTTCTAGCGAAATTCTCAAAACCGGTGGTGATTTCATTCTTTTGCAGCCGGAAAATATCCTCTGTCTCACGCGGACGGGTTTTAGGATTAAAATTATCGATTTCGGCTTGGCGAGAGAACTGACCGACCAGGAATTGCGCGTACTGTTTGGTACGCCTGAATTCGTCGCCCCTGAGGTCATTTCATATGACCCTGTTTCCTACGCTTCAGATATGTGGTCCGTTGGCGTCATATGTTATGTCCTGTAAGTTACAAGTTTTATGAACAAACTCGAGTTTATATCTTATTTATGTCTTATGTAATTAAGCTAAATTGTTGAACCGAATTTTTAAAAAACAACCTGTGGTTAACTTTTATTTCTATTTAAGTTGTCCCTTCTGCAACATCACCAAGATTTTATTGATTAGTAAATTATGTTTTGATATAAATCCAAATATCTGAAAAGCAGGGGAAAGGGCAATTGTCTCTAATGCGGCGCAAGTAGCAAAACAGAAAGCTGTGAAGTCTGTAAAACGGAAATGGTGATAATACGCTGATTTTATTGGTGGTGCTAAATGAAGTGGTGAAGACAACCATCAGTCAAGAAGGGATGCCAAAATTGCGCTTGTATAAGTTATCTAATAGCCAATGCATAAACGAGTGCATACTTTAACCAAAGGTGAAAAAGTGCAAGTTATCTAAATTGCGAGCTGCCGGCAAACAGAAATAAGATTAAACACAACCAAAGCACCGATTAATGAAAATACGCCTCTATATAAAATATCAGAAAAGCACCGATAAAAAATGTGACCGATGAGAAATGAAAAATTGAAGAAAATTCTAGGTATTATCTTCCGCAAAGCATAAGAGAGCCGATTATGCGTGTCATTATCAGCTCATATTAAACGGTTAACTAATCCTGCACCAAGACTTAACTCCTAAATAAATCCAAATGTTAAAGTAACTCCTAACTATACACCAAAGGGTTTCTTCAGTTGACCTAATCATGAAAACATTCCGGCCTCAGTGGGAGTCTGACCCACACAGCACAAAGGCTTTTGAGCAGCCAACGATCTACCATTCAGCTACGAATGCATACTTTTAAATAAAGGTAAAAGGTGGACTAATTTGGTTATCCATATCGCCGTGCACTTTGAGCGTGTGTGATTAAATTCACGACCCACGGTGAGCGTCGTTGCTCAATGGTAGAGCGTTGGCTGCGCAAAAGTCTGCCTGCTGTGTGGGTTGTCAACAAGCCCGCGAATTTTTCAGTATCTGCTAAACTGAATTATCTAAATTTGCCAAATCCCCCAAGTAATCAAAGTATCTGACTAGTAGTTACATTACCTCTATATGATGGATATAGGTACGGCTGCAGCACATATCACACTGAGCAGACAAAACTCAACCAAATTTCACGCTTGCCGAGAAAAATGCAAGTTCGATCTTGTGTTGTCTGGCTGGCTGTCGGTGTTCTACGAATTTATCATATAATTTATCCCAACCTCCGATATAACTCAGGTCCAACGAAGGCGAGACACCACCATTGTGACAATTCTCTACTTTACCGTGTCTTGTTTTGCAGTCGTATATTCTGTTGTAGTCTTTCACAGCGCAGCCAAAACAACATTCATTGTACTTAATCTATATTTACAGTTCCTCAGCGTTAGCGATTATTTTTAATTTTCCGATTCTAACCGTGAACAAAAATAGTAGGGCTTTCCCATTTTGAGGAATATTCTTGTAATGTGTCAACCAGCTTTCTTCCACTTTGCGTAAAATAACTTAATAATGCCGCTGATATTCAATTTCTAGAAGAGACAATAATAGTGAACGAAATAAGACTTATAGTAATTATATATATCTACGCCCCTTTTATATGGTGGAATCCGTCCAGTTCTGGTACGTTGCGTAGCATATTGTCAAAGAAGTACGCCGTTGCCTCTTGGCTAGATGTTTATCCTACGGCGTTATGCGAAACCGTAGTCACAGGTGTCAACCTCTTAAATCCGGAATTCAGTCGCAAGCAGGAAAGTTCGGCAGCGGAAGCACGTCTTTTGCGTACGGGACGTCCATTCTCCTGCTCACGTTTTCCAGTACAATCCTGATACGTATCACCTTTGAAGAATTCGCTTAAAATCGCCCATTATATCCTCGACGTCTCCTTTTTATTCACATGCAGCTTGTCCGGACTGTCTCCGTTTATGGGTGACAACGAAAGTGAAACCCTTTCAAACATCATCCGCTGCGTGTACAGCTTCGAATACTCCGAATTCGATGACATCTCGAAGGATGCTAAGGATTTCATCAGAAAACTGCTCGTTAAGGATATGAAGTACGTCTCAAAAACTGTATATAGAGCCTGTTTACAGTCTATTTGTGAAAGAACCGTAATAAATATCTTGCAATAGTAGCACAGGACGTAAAGAAGCATCTTGGGCTTTCATTAAGTTGTCGAAAACTTAGATATCCAGAACGATCAACTGTTGGAACTGTAAGGCATTTGTAGTTTAGGGATATATCTGCTACTCTGTTCCTTTTTCCCGCAAGTAACCAGAACCTTAAAGCGTACGCCTACCTGATTTTATTATCTTTGCATCTGTCCACATTTAAGTTCTTCGAATAAAGGGGAGGGTGATAGTTCAATGACTGTTTGAGCAATGGATAAGGAGGTGGATTGAGCAAAGGAACAACTCGAATTCAGGCTAATAATTCTCATCAGAGGGGACAGCAGCAATACAAAATAAATAGTAATTGTATGTATTAGGCAATCAGTTTTCAATGATGCAGACATAAAAGCAACTAAGAAGAGTTTTTAATGTAGGCGGCGAATTTATACTTCTATTTACTGACTTTTTAGGCTTCTATTAATCATTGCCTTGCAGTTCTTTCGGCATGGTTACGAAATCAAACTCACCAGCCGTTTCGAGCTTACTTAGGTCACCTGCAGTTGCGATAGTGATTTTACTGACATGACCGCATCAGCTGTGGACTGACTGTGTACTTATCCTAAAAAGACCGGCCTTTATGTACTGAGCTGATATTTATACCAAATTTATGTCCAGCTGTAATTGTGGCTTAGCGAGGGAGATGATGATTTTCTTATCTCAAAAGCAAATTATTTCCGTTGATATATCGCACAAAACTTTTAGTTGGCAATAAGTGGCTCAGCCCCGCACTTTGCGTTTGCCCATATACTGCAGAAAGAGCAAGGCTATAAAGAAAATGATATGTTCGGTAGTCTCACTATGTTCTTATATCATCAAATATTGACTAGAAGTCTTAAAGTGGCCTTCTATTGGAAAAGTATTATTAGGTGTTTTGAAAGCACACATCGGGTAGCATAACTTTAAAGAAGTCAAATTAAATACAACGTTGACTGTTTAATACTTTCCTCCCCACGAGCCTGCCAAGACTATACTGGCTAAATGACTGCTTAAGTAATTGTTTTCAATTTTCTTCACGTTCGATGTCCCCACTTATTCTAACATTTTTTATAGTTTTGTTTAGTTATTATTATTTTTTGTTTGTTAGACCTGTCATTTTCATAGTCAAATAAAGTACCTTTCCACTTTTTCGACTTTTTTAACTCGTGAGATATTTAAAAATTGATATCTTTCCTTTCAAACAATATGGCGGTTTTCTCTTTTCTAATTCCCATAGTGAGTTTTGTCACATGGTAAATTTGCTTATTTCTGTTTAATTTTTTTTTCGTAGCACATTAATTGTTGCATTTTTTTATGAAAAGTTTAGGCTTTTTTAATTTAGAAAACTACGACTCAAATGCAACGGTCGATCAAGTTTACCATATTCGATTATAGAAAAACCTTTTATTTGGCAGTAATTGATAGTTTTCTTTGGCAAAATAATTTAAAGCATATGTATGATTATAAAATTTAATACAAAACCTGCATTTTACATATGTTTTCCGCAAAGGATGTTGGAATATGCATGGGGGCCGAAAATTAATGGAAACCTTGTACTACTGAAGTAGTCACTTATTCTTACTTTTGTTACTCCAACGTGATAAAACACCAAAACCTGATGTATATGAAAGTACATCAATATAGGCTAATCGCTACAAAAAACCATACCCCAATTAAGCTTTTTTAATCGAAACATGTTCCATCATTTTTCCTAAAATTTTAAGAGACACGCTAGCAGCAGCTCTTATGCACGTTGATGCGAATTGCTTTTCGTATTGCAAGCCAAAAAAACATTTAAATCGCGTGCATTAGCGACGTCTAGAAAGCATCGTTATTTTAACATAATGAAGTCCATACAGTGTGCATCTAACTTTACGGCCTTTGCGTGCAATATCTTCTACTTCCCCTAACTGATAAACAGCAGAATAGTTTAGGGATATGCTTGAACATGATAATTGCGTTGCTATGACTGTGTTTGCGAAAGGATCGTTCAACTGTCTGTGCTCTCTGTACCTAATTTATTATCTTCGCTTTTGACACAGCTGAAGCCTCTTAAGCAACGACCGATCGACGCAGCAGAGTAGCCTAATCGGAGCCACAAAAAAACGCTATCAAAAAGTAATCTTGTAGATATTTTTTCCATAGAATGACATGATATGTTGCCCTCATTTTTGCAGAGCGAACCAGTTTTCCGGGCAATCATCTGCAAACCACATAATTTTTTGCAAACTCGAAAAGATACCCTAACGCCGGTCAGACTGGAAGAACTTGCGTAATCCGCGTGTCTCTATAACATCGCTTAACATTGCCAGTCTTCTGGTCTTTTTTCGCACCAAACAGCCTCTCTCATTCAGCTGCTAGCCAATCGCATTGCAGAATTTGCGGCACATAAATGACGCACAAGACCCAAATAGTTGTTACGTTTTAGGCAATGACCTCATCCTTCGCCAATTTTGCTGTCTCTCTGCGGGCGTACTTTCCATGACGCAAGCTGTATGGGTTCCTGCTATCTCATTTGCTTGCCATTTTGAATCCTGCAGCGACTAAAAGGGCAGTTCAAGGAGAAGAAAATGCCAACGCAACAGCTCCGTCCCTCGCCCAACTGTCTTATTAGAGCACACAGCCAATGGTGTTTTTTTAAGCCAAAGTGTGTTCGCCGGGATAGGTTTATTGTGTGCCTGTTGTCTAGACCATTGGTTCCAGCTATCCAGCTGGATATTTCCCTGCATATATAGTACTTCCTGTGCCCTTTTTCCGATATATGCGCTGGAAATTAAGGGTAAACCAACTTTCGTCGCAAAGAAAATAATGTGTCACAGAATGAGAATATTGTTGAGACTCTGACGAAGTGTAACAGAAATCACCAGACACCAAATGAACCTAACTGCCAGAAACACATAGTCGTCTTCTAACAGGCCACCTGCGAATCACACTATCATTCAACTGCTCAGTATCCCGTGAGCAAAATTGTCTCCCGTGTAGCTTGACAGCCTCGGAGTCCACTGTTGCCTATATTTAATTCTGCATATCACATTAAGGGGTTAGTATGGCAATAAAACTACCATTGACAGCCTTCATTTTTCCGCTGGCTTCTTATCTTTGTCACTAGGTATATGCACATGGGCAGATTCATCAACCTTGGCACTATGACGACACCAGCTGATTAATAGTTTAGTAATAATGAGCATGCATGGCGTACACAACATAGAAAACATTGTTTACGATGCTTTAACAAGCAGGTTCCAGGCAATGGTAATCTTTACGGTACGATCCAAAAATTAGTGTAACATGCCGACATATGCGAAATATCAATACTCTCTCGCTAATCGGCGTTGAATAAGGTTGTTATACTGATTAGCATGCAGTCTATTCTGAAGTCATTTCAGTCACGATATGATGCCGGCTTTTTAACGAACCTCGTTCTGATCGCCAACAAACGTATGCTTTGTAAAAAGTGGTCACCTCAGTAGTATTCATTTTTATTATTAATTTTGACTGCCTTTATATATGCAAATATATTTTATGGAAAACTTAAAAGTAAAAATTATTTCTAGGTCTTGCTTGGTAGCAAATTACGCGTTTTTAACTGTATATCCAGGGAAAAGATACTTTTCGGTTTTAAAGAAAATTTCTCATTATGAGCTTTTTTACGTTTGTGAGGTATTCGTTCATAATACATCGTATCCGTCAATATAGTAACGCTGCCTATAATGTATATAGTATGATCCACATCCATTGCAAAATTTTCTGAGAATTATATGACTTGTTCCTAAAACCGTAGGCGAAAGCTTACTTTTCCTTAAACAGGATGTAGACAACACACGCGTTTTTAAACCTTGAATTCAAGTGTTGCGTTCAGTAATTTTCGAAATTATATGGCAATTGAGAAATTTTTTAACCTAAAGATACCCCTTCTTTAAGTTTAACATTTGAAGGAGGCGTTATTGTCCACCAAACGAGTACAAGAAATATTTTTTTTGTTTACGTTCTCCATAAAATATATTTGAATTAATAAAGGCAGTCAAAATCAATGACTAAAGTGCCTACTACTTAAGTAGCCACTTTTCACATTGCATATGTTTTGTCAGTGGTCAGAAAGAAGCTCGTTAAAAGCCTTCATTCTATCATGTCTGACATGACTTCAGGACAAACAACATGACAATCGGTATTATAACATTACTCAACGCTGATTAACTTGATTTCTTTTAGAAAGAAACATTTCTTTTAACGCAGATTGTCAGTCTCAGAGAGAAAATTCTGACAACCAGTCACTTTCGATCCCCAAAGCGTTCTACATTTTGGTGTTTTACATTGGACGTATACCATAATTTTGTGAACTATTAGGTTCTTTTTCCGGCAAAATGCAAGAATTGGCACGCCCAGCACATAATATGGGCAGGTGAATTTCTGGAAGCGAGGCTATGTTCTAAGAAAACTGGTTTCCCAAATATAATCCAACTTTCCCGTATATTAGCGAATACTAACCCTAAGAAAACTGGACTCCCAAATATAATCTGACTTTCCCGTATGTTAGCACAGAGCCATCGATACTACAGGTCGTTCCGGTCCACATGTCCTGTCGGAAGTGGCCACATTATCGAACCCTACGCTCAAGCTGGATAGATTAGCTGTCTAGACCAGAAACTATGCTTCTTTAATCTCTGGCCTTTTGTGCAAACCTAGATGGACGCATTAACTTTCTAGCGCACTAAAACACCTACAAACGCTAGGCTCCTCCAGAAACCGCCAAGTCGAAAATTTATCGGTTTGCCAGGGCCCAGTCGTTATCACCTTCAATTAAGCCTCTTTTCCACACGAAAATTTCAAACAGGATAAAAACTAATAAATAAACAGTCAACAACAGTACCATTTTTTATCGTGGACCGTTGTTATGG